TAAATTCCTAAACCCTAAAACCCAAAACCCCTAAAACCCCAAACGGTCATTCTTCATGGCAGAGGCTCGAGAGCTCGAAGCCAAGGGCCAGCTCACGGAGGCCGAAAAGGATATATGTTTAGGGTTTAGGGTTTAAGGTTTAGGGTTTAGGGTTTAGGGTTCAGGGTTTAGGGTTTAGGGTTCGGGTGTTTTGGAGTTCAGGGTTTTTAGGGCTTGGGGTTTGCTCGTTTCAGCAATCAAGAGAACAGGAAAAGCAGGGTCCTCGGCCTCGTTCTTCCAAGAACCCTAAACCCTAAATATGGGGATATCTAGGGATGCATTACTCAAAAAATGGAGAACCAGAAGAAGAACAACGGAAATGTATTAAGTGGAGCCACTAAACCCTGATGGACCTGCGTAGGATTTTGGGAGTCTATAGGATTTCTCGGATGGCTATAGGCCAGATTTGTATTACCTTTGCTCCTTACAGAAGCTTAGGCATCAGGGGCCTAAGTCCAAACTTAAGCCTGAATCCTCAACTCTTGGCCTCAAATCCCGAACCCTAAACCCCAAGACCTCAAAATCTTCCTCCCTAAGCCCTAAACCCTGAAGCCCAACACCTTCAGCCCATTTTAGTGGAAGCTTCCCGAGCTTCGTGTCCAGGCGCTTGCGGGCTACAAGCTGGCAATTTCCGTCCTGCAGCTCGTGTACCCCATCTGAGCCATAATAAGGGATTACAATACTACCCTTTCCAAAGGTACACCCCCAAATTTAGAACCCTATTAGGCCTTATTAAGCCCTATATAGTCCTTATTAGCTCCTTAAACCCTGGGGGGGTACCTTTGGGGGGTCATAATCTAGACTCCTTAAAAGGGGGTTATACAGGGGATTGTGTAGGGACTACTATAGGGGTTATTAAGGGGGATACTAGGAATTTAGACTATAGCTCATCTGGGCTTCGGGTTTAGGGATATGACCCCCATACTGGAGAATCCAACTCAAGAGAGAATGCAACATGAAATGAAAACATGGATTGTATAGTGGTGTACAGGGAATGTGTGAGCTATGATCATTATGGGGTTACCAAGCCGCTTCCTAAACCCTAAGTAACCCCAAACCCTAAATCAAATACATCCCTATATAACCCCTACATATCCCCTACATAACACCTCTATCTAGCCCCTATACATCCCTTAGGCCCCATAATATGCAGCCCTCGGCCAGGTACAAGTTTGACCCTCGGTCGAAGAATCCAAAGATCAAGGCAGACGGCTTAATGGAGACCCCTGATTAAACCCCCTCCCCGTGATGGGGATTACAATAGGGATCCTAATATTAAGGCCCTTAAAGGGAGGAGGGTTTATTAATAAGGGGTCTATATTAAGAGGTTTTGGTTCGGATTTAGGGAGGGACCCTAAACCCCTAAACCCTAGGGAGGTTTTAGGTACTTGTGGCTTGGGGACCCAGGGACGAAACATAGAAAACTTCGGACTTACATCTTGTGGAGTAGGGTTTAGGCAACTTTGGGGTTGGGGGTTGGGGCATTGCAACAACTTTCAACTCAATTTCCTCAGCGCTAATCATCGAAAGCTCCAAACCTCAAACTGTCAACCCCAAGCCCTAAACCTTAAGCCGAGTGTTTTAGGGTTTAGGCTTGAATCCTAAACCCTAAACTCATTGCAAGCGCGCCTCAGATGAGCTGCTGTCAATAGTTTGGATACCAAGGGACCATGAATAAAGGGTTTCGGCAGTAGGGTGTACTTGGAGGTCCATGGTACTTATAACCTATTTAGTAACTGTAGTTATAACCCAATTATATCTAGGGTAACTGTAGTTATGGGACGTNNTATATTTGGGTTATAACTATAGTTACTAAGTAGGTTATAAGTACCATGGACCTCCAAGTAGGGTTAGCGAGGGGCCATTGTGGGTGGACATGGCATTTTGGGTAGTTTAGTACAGTCCTCAGTATATTCCCTAATAGGAACCCATGTCCATCATATGTGTATATATATATATATATGTATGGGAAATATTCTTCCCTATCATTGATCGTCATCATCCACCATGTAGTCCCAGCTTCCAGCTTCAATTTTCTTTTCCATTGGTTACACGGGAAACAGAGACTGTGGCTCAGGTGAGATAGGCAAAGCCTTTCCCAAGGTTTTTCTTCTGGGGCCCGAAAGACTTACAGGGTTGTATAGGGCATATGTACAAGGGTTACAGGGGTAGACCCTGATTTTTTGAATGGCCTAATAGGTAGAACCCCAAGCTAGACTCTGAACCCCCAGACCTAGACCCTTCCCCTGTACCCTAAAGCCTGAACCTCAAGACCTAAACCTTATACCCCAAACCCCAAGCCCCAAGACCTAACCCCTAAACCCTAGGCCTCAAGACCTACTCTCTATACCCCCAAAACCTGAGCCCTACACCCCAAAACCTGAGCCCCACGACCTAAACGCTATACCTGAGACCTAAACCTAAGCCCCAAGACCTAGGCCCTACACCCCATACCTCAAACCCTAAACCCTAAGCCCAAGACTGCCCAAAACCCTGTACCCTAGCAGCAAACCCTAATCTTTAAACCCCAAGATCTAAACCCTAAACCCTAAACCCTAAACCCCTAAACCCCTAAACCCCTAAACCCTAAAACCGTCAGGAGATGGTCGCCAACCGCATGGCGCGGGTCCCAGCAGGGACTGGCGCCCTCTCCGCGTGTGGAAGACATGGCTTGGGGGCTGGAGGGTTTATTCCAAAACTTGAGTTTTTTTTTGGAAGGGGGGAGTGTGTCATTTTGAGCCAAAAATTCTGAAGTTTGGTGGAAATTTTGAGATTACACAAATTTGAGAATCGTAGGCAATGGTAAGTTTATATGGGCTTGAGGGTTTAGGCCTTAGGGTTCAGGGTATGGAGTTTAGGGTATAGGGTTTAGGGTGTAGGGTTCAGGTTATAGAGATGATGGATGAATCCCTGCACCGTCCGAAGCCCCTTAACTCCTAGGAATTGGAGAGCGCAAGGGACCCTACGTGGTGCAAGACTTCGCCAACGGTAGTGGGTTAAAACAATCCATTAGATTGTAAGATACTGCAGAGCCCCGAAGATTGCCAGCTTCATAGTCTTATAACCACCCAAAATTATACCCTAAACCCTCAAACCCTAAACTCTGCACCCTAAACCCTATACCCTAAACCCTGTGCCCCTAAACCCTAACAGGCCCCTACATTGGGTTATTCTGCAAAACCCGAAGATGGCAGTACTGCAAGGCGCGAGGGTTGTGCTGGCAGGTGTTCCGCAACCAAACTCAACAGGAAGATATGTCGGGTTTAGGTTTAGGGCTTAGCATTTAGGCTTAGGGTACAGGGCTGCATCCTTAGCCCCAAACCTAAACCCTTAAACCCTACGCTCTGGACAACAGACCCTAAACTCTCAACCCTATACATCTCTATATAGCCCCTATATCTCCCCTATATAACCCCCTACGCATCCCCTATATAACCCCTGTATATCCTAAACCTTACATCCTAAACCCTACATCCTACATCCTAAACCCTACATCCTACATCCTAAACCCTAAACCCTACATCCTAAACCCTAAACCCTACATCCTAAACCCTACAACATACATCCCCGGGTCTTTGGGTATCATTTTTGTCATGCCAAGGCTGAACTTGAAGGCCTTGCCAGTCGGCTTGATCCAGGCGGGACCCCTGGTGGCTTGGGGGCCTCCACGGTGAATTTAGGGGATACGGTTTAGGGGATCAGGTTTAGGGTTTAGGGTTTAAGGTTTAGGGTTTAGGTTTTAGGGTTGAAGGTTTGAGGTCAGGGCTTAGGGAAGTGTAGGGTTTGCGGATTGGCGCGGTTCTTGCTAGGGGAGGTGATGAATTCAGAAGTTGGAGTAATTACCCCTAGTATTGCCTTGTAGGTTGAGGGTTCATGGTCAGGGCTCAGCCGAGAATCGATATGAAAGGAGAAAGGAACAAGTGGTACTACATGGAGGGTTTGTAGGGTGTGTAAGGTAGAAGCTTGAGCAACTGCCAATACTGTCCCGCTTTGAACCTTACAACCTATTCTAATTAAATGGGCTCCTGCATTCCTCATGCTCAGTTGGGAATGGTGGATGGGGCTGTGGGGCTTATCTAGGGACAGGCACAGGCCTAAACCATAAACAACGTAAATCCTAAACTCTCAAATCAAAAGAGTCCTAGGCCAGGGTGAACTATGGAGTTGAAGAAATAAGGTTATACTAGATGACTGGTGCTCCTCATCGACCCCACTCCTCCTAAGGTCCCCCCTGAAGCAGGCTTAATTCAAATCCTCTCTGCTTGAGGGGGAACCCGCGGGGCGGTAATATGGAGGGGGTTTGTCATAGAGGAACCCATGGACTAGTAGGAATCACAAGGATGTGTGTTGGGGATAGGGTTTAGGGTTTAGGGTATAGGTTTTAGGGTGGCGACCCAAGTTCAATGTTTGAATTTGACGGGCTTTTTTCTGCATAGTTTCACTTCCCATGCGTGCTGTTTACTCGACTTCCAATGCCTCCTCCATGTGAGCCACAGTCTAAACTCCTAGTGTCCTCCTTAATATGAATGCTCACTGCATTTTACCGCTCTCTGACCTGCAATTATGCCCACTCGCGGAAATCTTTTGACAGCGAAGGCCAGCCAGGTCCGCCCACGGCAAGCGCCGGGGCCCTTGAACTTGCAAGGCTCATAGTTCCCATTGAGGTAAAAATATTAGGGTTATATTGGGGTTATATGGGGTTAATGGAAAAGAAAATGAAAACTACCATACTGGGCTATTTAGGGTTGAGGGGTTAGCGGCCTGCCGTTGCACCATTCCAGAAACCAGGAATGCAAAGCCGGTGCTTGTACAGTGCACGGAAAAGCAGCATTTGCACTTTCTGCGGCTGAGATGTCTTGACAGCAAAAGGTTGGGGATGGATAGGTCGCAGTCCCAACTCATTCTGCAGCCATCAGTTTTGCATTGCCCAGTTTTCTGATTCTTTATTTTCCCCAGAAGCCATGGCCAAGAAGACCGCCATTGGTATTGCCGCTGGGACCTTTTCTAGTGCGGCGTTCAGGGTATGCTGGCGGAGAGTCTGTGTGGGGTGTTGTGAGATTTGTAAGGACCTGGGCACCACGTACAGCTGCGTGGGAGTTTGGAAGAACGACGGTGTCGAGATCATTGCCAATGATCAAGGCTTGACTGACTCGACTTACTGGTAGCATGCATTGTTGTTTTTCAGAGGCCTGAACGCCGACAGCAGCCATGATCCCCTCTTCTGCACATGCCCCCGTTCCCCAAGCATTTGGTTGACCCCGACGGAGGCAACCGGACCACTCCTTCCTATGTGGCCTTCACGGACACCGAGCGCCTGACCCTCCGAAGCATTGCAAGCCACATGAAGGCAGACCCATCTCTATCCATCTTCGGGGAAGATTTGGGCCGTTCTGCTGCTAGTTCGCACTCCGTGTTGGTCCGAGGATCGGCGATGCAGCCAAGAACCAGGTCGCTCGAAATCCCGAGAACACGGCAGCCCGGTTGCTTTTTCAGCTCAGGCAATCTCAGGCGGTGTATGTCAGCAGTCCTTCTGAAGGCGTGAGGGCACTTGTGATCCCTTTGCCTGGGCCCAGGTGTTCGACGCCAAGCGCCTGATTGGCCGCAAATTCAACGACCCTATCGTGCAGGCGGACATCAAGCTGTGGCCCTTTAAGTGCGTCTCCGGTCCCAGCGACAAGCCGCTCATCGTGGTCACTGTGGAGGGCGAGGACACGCAGGGCTCCCACAGACAATTGCAAGCCCAAACGAAGAGAGCAGCATGCTGACATTGTTCTGCCTGCCCTAATGCCATGCCTCGCAGGAGAAGAAGTTCCATCCGGAAGAGATTTCGTCGATGGTGCTCCTTAAGATGAAGGAGACGGCGGAGGCCTACCTTGGTTCCAAGATCAACGACGCCGTCGTGACGGTGCCCTCTCCTGATTGGGGGAGTATGCAAGTATGCTTTGCAGCACTACTGCCCACTCACGAGCTTGAGCTTAATGGGTCTGGACTTTGTATTGTTAGCAACTTAATTAGCAGGGGCTGCTGGCGAACCCATCCTTGTGTTATTTCATGTATTTTGGGTTTTCCTCCAGTGCCCAGTTCGTGCAGAGTTCAAACGTAGAGCGTCCTTGCAGTGCCTGACCCAGAATTTATTTGGATGTGGAAGTTTTGTGAGAGTGAGTATCCCTGTCATGTGAGCTGAGGCGTGCCAGGAGTGAAGCATGACAGGTATACTGAAAAAGTTGGGGTGGACAGTACAGCTTTTCTGAGTTTTTTGTCAAGGTGCCCGCGTACTTCAACGATTCGCAGCGCCAGGCCACCAAGGATGCAGGCGCGAGGGCTAAGCGGCGGATCACTGGTTGTGCCCGCAGTCTGGCAGTTATGCAAGGTGTCAATGGGCATGGCGCATGTACTTGATTTCATCTTCCCTGCATTCCGTTCAAGGTTGTTACGCACAGATGTCAGTTGTCAAGGAGCAGGAAAATTCAGTAAAAGCTGCCTGCAACCATCACAATCTGAAGCAGGAACAATCTCGGGCATGAACGTTCTACGCATCATCAACGAGCCGACCGCGGCGGCGATCGTAGCCTTGTCAGCCTTGCTTTATACTGTCGTCTCCTCACCCTAGCAAGGCAACAAGCACTTTCCTTCCTATTTTTTTTGATGAGCGCCGTGATGTGACAAGAACCATCCTGAATCAGCAAATACTATCAAACTGTAAGCGGTGATGAACCTAGGCATACGGCCTCGACAAGAAGCTTGCCTTCAAAGTGCTTGACAAACGTTGTGAACTGTGCGAGAGTGTGCGGGTGCGTAGTCCAGCATGCTCCGTTACTCTGAGTCTCAGGCGTCCCCTCTGCTTTCATTGAACTTGGTGAAGCCAGCGACTGAGGAAGGGATCCGGAGAGCGCAACGTCCTCATCTACGACGCTTGGCAGAATCTGTAGAACTTTCTGCATGTTTTTTTGCCGTAATAAGTACTTGCTCCCTACATAGGCTTTGCTTCGATGCCTCAATCCAAAACTTTAGGTCCTAAAAGCCGTAAGCCTTAACTTCTTGCTCACCCACACGGCCGGAGGACATGGGAGGAGGCACTTTCGATGTCTCCCTCCTGACCATCGAGGATGGTATCTTCGAGGTGAAGGCCGGTTGCTGGGCAGGGTAAGGATACTTGTAAGTTCTTGTGAGCATTTCGAGCCCTTTCAGAATTTCAAGAAAGGATTCTTGGGGATCCGCAAACCGAAGTGCGGCACTGTATGTGCAGCGTCGACGTGGCTTGCTCTCGCAGAGGCCACGGCAGGCGACACCCACCTGGGTGGCGAGGACTTCGACAACCGCGTGGTGGACTTCTGCATCCAAGACTTCAAGCGACCTGCCCTTCAACCTGGAGGTTTTTAGAGGCTGTATTTGTGTTTTGAAGAGGTACAGGTAGCGACTCCGACAAATTGCTGCCAGGCAGGTTTCCATTTGTTTGATCAATCGCTGTGGGATGAGGCGAAAGAACCGCGGCAAGGACATGGCCGGCAACCAGCGTGCCATCCGACGCTTGCGAACGCAGT